TCCCCAGAGCATGAGGGATGGATTACTGACCAGAACTGTAGCCAATCCAGGAAAAAAATGGAACAATCTCGCTTGTATATGTTTCAACCATGTAATATTTAATTATATCTCTCAAGATACAGTTATATCTCTCAAGATACAATTGGATTACATGATTGCATGATTGAAACATATATAACGAGACTTTTCCATTTCTTCCCAGTGTTGACTACAGTTTCGGTCGATGATCCATCTCTCATGGTAAAAGATTGGTTAACGAAATTAAACTCACCCTGTATATATGTAATAAGCTGCCATTGTTGCAAAAGTAAGAGAAAAAGACTCGTTCGTGCCGCGACGATGTTACGCGTGCACAGCGCGCCGTATCTTCGTAGTCCGCGCGACGAAGCAGAGAGGAACACCGTTTTTCACCTCCCGGATAAAAACATATATATACAGACATGTTATCATGAGCGTATTACGTACACTGGAGGAGAATTATGAGTGTGGACAGGTGGACGGACGAATGGACGGAGGCGGACCGGGACGCGCGTAACGTAAACCTCCCGTGAACAGAGGTTTATCGCAAGCGCGACTTAGCAGCAGGTTACGTCAGTGAGCATAGATTTTCGCGGACCTGCGCAGCTGTCATCTTGAAATATTAGTACTTTCCGCTTCGATTTCTCAAGGTGCCGCGTGATGCGTGAGAGCAAAAGAAACGCATGCGACATACATTTACAACTCTACGGGCCGGATTTTTCCACCCTCTTGGTAAGCTAACTAATAGTTAATGTGTCTATCTTTGTCTGATTTAAAGGAACAACGAAGACATAGGTACATATTTAACTATTAGTTGAGGCACATACCTCCAGAAATTAAGAAACGAAGTCAAAATTTGAAAATTTGAAAATCCAAGATAGCGGATCCTATATGGCACCTGGAAATCTTCATTTGAATTTTTTAATTCCGACACCAGAATCGTAATTAGCGATCCAAAAAAAAACCCTTAAGTATTAAGTTTCAGAAAAGTCAGCTGAAAGGAAAAATGTATGCTTCAAAGGGTTAATTTACCAAAGGGTTGGAACAACAGGCCGTAAGAAAACGAGCTTGAAAAATTCTCGCGATTATGTCGAAAGGAAATAAGATAAATCTCATGTGACATGCCGAACTATCTCTATGACGCGTCTTTTATTTCACGCGTGCGTTTGCATAAAAGATTCGAGTGTCAAGCGTCAATGTCCGTCATTTAAATACGATGCGCAAATATCTACGGAGCTGCTAAATGCCCGCAGTAAGACGCTTACCAGAAGGCCGGCTAAAAGGACCAGGCAAATGAAGGCCACGGAGGAGACTACGACGACCGCTATTGCGTTTCCGGAATCCGCTTCCGGCACCAGAAGAAACTTGTGTATCTGGAAAGAATGAACGACCTAAGGAAATTTAATAGAGATATTCCTTCGATCGCTGAATGTAATATTAATGACTCTGATACGGCACATTGATCGATTAACGGAGAGATATTATTAGAGAAGGGGCGCTTCATAGAAGGGGACGTCTTGATAACCGAAGATCACCCGCGCGTGATGAATGATTCCAAGTTGATAAGCGGGAAGATTACATTTTCGCGAGACGTGCCGAAGCAAGAGTTATAATGGACTTTTGCTGACGTTCGACAGCCAGAGCGTTCTAATCCGCGCCCGACCTTCTCCGCCGTTTTCAACTTACTCTCATTGGGAAGTTGGGAGACACCTTGTATAAACTTGGCAGAATCTTCGTCATGGCGGCGTCGAACTTGCCGTCCTCGTCGACAACGTAGATCAGGATCGAGATCAGGGAAACCTCTGTGGGTGTCGGCGACGAGTTCTGCTCGCAAGGGTTTTGATGGACGATGATTTGTTTCGGCTGCACGGGTCTGCAAGAGCATTCCACGCTGCATTGTGTGTTACAAATGAATTTTTCGCTAAACTCCTCACTCAAAATTTTCAAGTCAGATTTCTAATATGAAACAGCAGGTTTTCAACATCAAAATTCAATCACAAATCTTTTTGGCAACGATTACACGATCGAACAATGAATTTTCCACCAAACAGAAGGTTTCGCTCCAAGGGCAATAAATTCGTAATGCAACCAACAGATGATGCCTATTAATTTAGCAGAAACCCTGCTACCTCATATTAGGTGCCTTCCTCATAATAGGAGACTTTTCTCTTTTAATTGCAATCCATATGTTGATATGTGTATCTACCACGGAGAGAATTTTCTCTTAAACTCTCTCCCGAAAATCGTGTAATCGTGGAACAGCGTGGCATTTCGAGGAAGTTTATGAGTTTTTCAATTTTACCACACACTTCACTAGTAATTATACCTACAATTAGTATACATTTTCCCAGTAAAGTTTCAAAAAACTCGCATAAAATTCTTCGAAATGCCACGTTGTCACACGATTACACGATTTTCAGGATAAATTTCAAAAGAAGATTCTCTTCGTTTTTATGAAATAATATTAGATAGTAAATAGTAGATAAATACGTATAATTTCGTAAAGCACTCACTTGTCCAGTCCATCTCGGAGAACATCCGCGAGCGCCTTCTTCAGATCCGGCAAGCGAGGGCAGATCTCGTGTAAGGTGCCCTCGATGACTATTTTCACCAGCGACGTGATTTCATCCGGTGATAGACTCTGAGTACCTTCCGTTATCTCCTCCTCGGGCGACTCCGTGAAACCCGCGGTACTCCAGGGTACCATCGGCTCTGAAGTACTCGTAGCCGAAGGGCTCTTCGTAACATTCGTCGTTGTCCTGACGCTTATATCCGGCGGAAGTTCCGTCGCACCTGCAGCGTGCGTCTCGGTGATGCTCGCGTTGAAACTTGAATCCTTTAGAGGATCCTCTGTAACGCCGGAGGCTCCCGAGACCTCGACGACAGTGGCGCTGGTGAGATCGATAACGCTTACGGTAACTTCGTTCCTCGCTAACTCCGTGCGATTACTTAGACCCTCAGAAGTGGTCCGAGTGTCTTGAGGACCTCTAGTAGTTTCGTTGTCCACGCGGTGCGTATCCGACACATCCGTCGTTGGAGTTCCGTCCTCCGTCGTCACCGGAAGTTCGGTGAATTCCTCCGGCTTCGTCGCGGTGAACACGTGCTCCGTTGAATTGCTCACGGACGGATCTGAAATCGTCGTCGCCCTCGAGGGCATCGTTTGTGCCTCGAGGGTTCGTCCTTCGACACTCCTCTCGGTCGCGTTAGCTCCCGAGGACACCGCCTCCGTGAGACTGACGAACTCGAATTCGATGGACGTGGTTGTCGGAATTGAGGATTCGTCGGGATTTAGAGTGACGGAAGGAGATTCGGTGGTTTGATTGACACTCGAAGTAGATCGCAGAGTGACGCTCGTCCTCGGCGCCGATTCCGTGACATTTTCGACAACCATCGCAGCAATCGTATTGATTTCCGCCGCCGACGTCGTCGAGGTCTTGGACCTGTTCGTTTCCGTCGTCGCGTCCCTGTCCAAAGGGACTGTACTCGTGGATTCGGTAACGACGAAAGTCGAGCGGATCATCATGGCTTCTTCCGGTTCCATCTGAACATCGGTATTCAGAGACGCCGCCCTGGATGTGTTCGTTTCCGTGGAATGCGACGTGGACGATTCCGTCGCCTCGCTGGAATGTGATTTCACTTCCTTGCCATCCGGAGTCAGGCTCACTTCCGTTATTCCGTTTCCAGTCACGTCGTAGCCCTCGTCTCTACCTACGCTCACTTTCTCCTCCTCTTTCGCACCTGGCTTGTCATTTGACTTGGAGCGTTTTATTTCCGAGGCCTTCGCGCTGCCGTTAAAGCCTTCCGGGATAGTTTCATTCGTTGGTCCAGCATCGGCCGAAACAGTCGGAGTCGCCGTCGCTGGCGTCAAAGAGGAGAGGCTCTTTGTCGTGGAATTCATCGACTCGTTTGCACTCTTCCTGTTCGACTTGTGCTGCTGAATGCTGTTCTCGATCACCACCGAAGGTTCTGTGACAACGAGCTTCTTCTCGGACTCACCCCTTCCGATTGTGTTCTCGTAAGCGGAGGTCTCCTCCGTAACGTCACCGCTTTCCTTCTTCAGCTTCAAACTAGCCTCCGTTACCACCTGGAGTGGTTCCCTGCTGGATTTCAAGTACGGATAAGGCCTTTGATCTCTCTTTTCCGTGCCGTTTCGCGGGCTCTGAGTGTCCGGTGATCCCGCGTCGGGCCTCGTCGAGGCTGTGGATTTCATCTCGATATTCGGAAACTCGTTGACTCCGGAGAATCCGATAGTTCTGCCTTGCGGAACTAGACTAGGAGTGGTTTCAAAGGCGGACGAGGTACGCTCCTCGGGTCGCACGCTCTGAGTCATTGTTTCGGGCAATTTTACCTGGCTCTCAGGTTCTCCTATTGATTTCCAGTCTTCCACACCATCTGCGTTCTTAGCAGTTACGTTGGACGGGTTTGCGCTTCGCTCACGGTGACTCTCATCTTTCGCGCTAGTCTCCCCGTTCTTCGTGTAAGCGGCTGCTTGATTGCTCAGTTCATTGACGTGAGAATCGTTCCTCACGGTATCGTTCGCGGTACTCACAATCCTCTGTGCCGGCAGGTGAGTGACGTTCCTAACGATCTCCACCTCTTCTTTCGGATCGCCTTTCTCGCGCGATTCATTCACGTCAATCGAATGGTTTCCCGCGCCAGCCCTGGGATCTTTCTCCGTCGCAGTCTTATAAAAATTATTGTAGTTCACGTAAGTGTCATTAACTAACGAGACAGTCTCTTCGTGCCCCTTTTCATCTAGCTTCTCTAAATCGAGTGCCTCGGATGCCGTTGTTCCTAGATCGTTCGCACTTTTCTTAAATCCCGGGGAACTTCCACTGCGCACCATGGCTAATTCCCGATCGCGAGCCTCCGTTGTCTGATCTTCCACTTCCTCTTTCAAGTCAGTCAAGATTGTGTTTTTGTCCTTTCTCGAAACGACTTCCCTATCGAGCTTTATGATTTTGTCCTTCTTCTCGTCGGGTCTAACAGTGCCTTCCGTTGTCGACTTCGGGGTCGTCGAAAAGAAATCTCTGATAGGCTTGACGGTCGGTATCTCTTGTTTACTCGCAGCTACGTTGTTCTCATCTTCATTTTTAACAAAGGGCTCCTTTCCTACTTCTTTAGATTCCGAGGTTTCCATAGCGTTTCCGATTAACTTCTCGTCTACACTTTTTTCCTTCGCACTCGGCGACATCTTGGTCGCATTGGATACTTTCTCGCGGTTGGAAGATTCTTGAACCGCGCCATCCTCGAGGTCCTTTCCGTCCTGCTTCGAATCATTGAGAGATAGTTTCGCGGTCGCCGCAGTTAGTTGGTTCTTCCTGGAGAGTCTGAGAAGATCTTCGGAGATAACTTTCGTGCTAGTGCTTTTTCCGGTGCTCTCAGCAATCTCTCCATACCTGGGCTTCCTGCCTCCGTCCAACGATAAACTATCGAATTCATCGGTCGATTTTTCCGCGTGCGAATTCGCGTGTGCCGACACATCGTCTTTTTCTCGATCCTGATTTGCGCCGCCGGCGACACTATCGTCCGACCTGCCTTCCGCGTTATAAGTTTTCCGATTCGTTAACTCGATATCTTTCCCGTCGTTCTCCGCGAATGTTCGATTTTGATTGCTCGAAGAAACTTTTGTTAGAATCGTCGTAGATCCTTGGGGAGTCGTATTTTGGAATTCAGATTTTTCAGGTGCAGCCGATGCTTCCGTAACTTCCGCCACCGCATTGTCAAGGAATAGCAGCAAAGTGCCTAAAAGAGCAAGGTTTAATCTTGTAACTTTATATCAGGCGCATCTTCTCTTTTGAAGGTACGATAATCATTTTGTACACGGAGAGAGAATTTTCTTTTAGAAATTTACCCTGAAAATCATGTAATCGTGGGACAATAAGTCCCATAATTACATGATTTTCATGATAAATTTTAAAAGAAAATTATCTCCGTGTAGAATGTCAAGAAAAATATGTTAGAATTATCAAAGTAGGCATTGCGTAGAATTTGTGCTTCAGGCTTACAACTACCTCTACTACTTTATATATTCCAGTTTATTTAATAAGCAAACACGCTAACGATTAATTATATTAATTAAATTTTAACGAAGTGTCATTTTCGTCCAATTGATTTGAAAAGATAAACAGCCTTTTTTATTATTTCCCTTGTCTACAATTCAAAATTAAAGATTACTAATTGGACAGGTAAAATAAATAATTATTTAACATATTTACATACTTATTTTTAAAAAATTATTTCAAAAAGAAAAAGGGAAGACAAAAAGTTGTGATATTTATTCGTTCACGAGAGATTTTTGCACTTTCGCAACATTCATTGACAGTTATGTAGGAAAGCTTTTAGCAATAAATTGGCTCTCACGTCTAACGCGTTAATTGTTTTCCCACGTAGTCTTATTGTTAGTCGCACGTTTGACAATAAAGTGGTGAATTATGGCAATAATCCGCAATAAGCATGTTCGCTGGATGCATGGAAACAGAAGTCCGCGCTTATCGGCAACTGGTTTCCACCGAGAGGCGCGCGATGTAATAAAAATGTGGCGTGCGTAGACGAGGCGTTTTAATGGATCGAAAAACCGGTTGTCCGTGGAATTACCGGCGCGTTCCTCCGGAACCTATTCACGAGGCTCTACGATACAGTTCTGCAAATTGAAAGTGTTCGCGCGACCGCGGCAAGAACGTGCGTTTGAATATTGAACAGACCTCGGGATTATGCAGGGGCTCCGAGTGTGTCCTCGTGTTTTGCTGATTTACCTCGATACGAGGCGACTAGTCCTCTCCGTGAACGTCGAAACCGAGAGATAAATATTTATTTTATTGACGCAGACTCGCAGCGAGAATTTTCCACCTGATTTCTACCTCAATGTTCCTACCCGATGCATTTCCGACGGATGCTGAAGATTTTATGGCGAGGTATCGATTTCCCGAACTTAGTTATTTAAACGAAGGGATAAAAAAATCTCTCTCCTCTTGCATGTATTATCATTTGTCTCGGATTTACCTACCTTCAAAACGTGTTTTCAATTCGCTAACACAATAAGTTAAACAAAAGTCATGTATCTACCTCAGAGTCAAGTATTTTCTTTATTTTTCAGTTTGCATTTGTGGACTTGGACATTTAGTAGTAAAAACTGAAAAGCGAATGTGCATTTTAAAGTTTACATTTGAAATCTATTAAATTTCAAAATATAATTAAAATAAAAATTCTGCACGAAACACGACATGAAGTACATATTTAATAAATGTTATTATCTTGTCAAGAGATTATCATGTCGATAGCGTCTCTTTATGTGCAAATCTCGCATTGAGTAATATCTATCTCTGGAAATAGCTATTGTATAACGCGAAATATTTATATAATAGGATACGGTAGAAACGTATCGGGGTATTGATGAAAGAGATGTTTCATCCACATTAAGCGTTACATAATGTTATCATTTAAAATAATTAAACCTTGATGCACGTGGAAATTATATAATTATTTATTAAACATTTCCTAGCAACAAGGTGATTCAGCTGAACGAGATATTAATTAATGCAGCGCGAGTCTTTTAATAATAGATGTCTCTTGACTCGTCAGTTTACATGCAACTTCTTCAACGTAATTACTGCGAATTTGCACATTGTCCTCTGATCACACAGCATTTCGCTCAACAATACACCTAAAAAGAGCTAATTTTAATGTAGGTACGTAAAGTGATACGTACAATTTTGTTTCTTGTTGCAATGCTATTAAAAAAGATGGGCAATATTGTTGAAGTTTCTTCACTTCCAGGTGGGAAATACTTAGCTTACCACGTTGGAAACGTCGTTAAAATAATTACCCATCTTAAATTACCCATTGCGTCACCGGCTTAGACGCACTTATCTCGCAGTCGTTAATTTCAGCTAATTAATTAAATTTGCGAGAATTCTATCATTGTCAGACCTCAACTCGAGATTCTCCTGAAGAAATGTAAATGCGTTTTGTATGCAAATAGATACGTGTACGCAAATCGCTAGGCTATTTAACATATATTCGCGAAATCCGGATATGCGATGTTCACCTCGGGTAGCTTAACACAGATATTACAGAGTCCCACTCGCTCGTGAATTCGAGAGGTCGAATCTAGATCAGAAAACGCGTCGTCTACGTTCACCGTAAACCGAAAGGTGACGATCGCGTCGAGATGGGATGAAAAATTTTGTTGATAAGCTGCAAGTTACAGTTAACTCGCTGGCAGGCTCGTTGCAGTAGACCTAACAGTACTTGGTGCAGTCACCTCGATTGGCAAGCTTTACATCACGAGTTCACAATGCAACAGGATGCAGCCGAGAGATGCTGGCCCATTCTCTTCGACGGCAATCCGCCGCTGCGCGCGCGACTCGAAATAAAAACTGCGTGCATAATCCGCGTAGAAATCCGTCCTTCTCGGAATAACTCATTGTCAGAGCAACGCGTTAACGTTCACTCGACATTTCTAGCAAATTGTAAAAAACTGCGACGAACAAATTCATACTGTTTTGCAACTACAACTCACCTATGCATACTCCTAATACGAAGATAAACGTTCTTCTTCGCGTCATTTCGGCCCGTTAGATCTTCCCGCTCGATCTGCAACAAAAAGCACAATATCGTTGGAAACGCACTTATTGCGATAAAAGTATCTGTGGATAGAAATAGAAATTAGGCAATGGCATCTGATCGTTTTACATTTACAAATGAAATGTCAGTTTCGTTAAAGTGCACGGAGAGAATTTTCTCTTAAGGAGTCATTCCACTTTAAACTATGCTTATCTTTAACAATTTTTTTTCACAATCAAAAAATTCTTAATCTATATGAGTGTCGCTATGTCCCGAACCTCAGTTAAGAATTTTTATTTAAAAATAACGAAATGGTGACAGTTTGTTATTTTTAAATAAAAATTCTTAATTGAGGTTCGGGATATAGCGACACTTGTATAGATTAAGAATCTTTTTAATTTCTTGTTTCAGGTAAGCCGGAAGGATAAAAGTCATCAACGCAGCGGACTTGCATCTTTCTTGGCACGCCATTCGAACGGTGTAGAAAACGCTTAATTGAAAAATTGTTTAAATTATAAGAAAAATTTTGTTGTGTTATTTAAGAGTGCCCTAATAAACCCCAAAAAGATTTATTTCATTGTATGGTGTATTTACTGTAAAAACAATTGTTAAAGATAAGCATAGTTTTTGGATCGTTAAAGTGGAATGATCCTTTAAAAATTAGCTTGAAAATCGTGTAATCGCGGGACAACACGGCGTTTCGGAGAGTTGAATTTTTACCATACATTTTACTAGTAATTATACTTAGTATACGTTTTATTAGTAAAATGTATGGTAACCTTTCAAAAAAATCTTATAATGAATTTGCCAGTTGTGTCGATTATTAATTTTCTACATTAATTATTTACTGGCGACAATAAGTCGCTTTACTCTTATAAAGTTCTTCAAAATGCCACGTTGTCCCATGATTATATGATTTTCAGGGTGAATTTTAAGAGAAAATTCTCTCCGTGTGTCTGTAACAATTTTCAATAATGGCACAAACAAAAGTTACGAAAGAAAGATGATCATGTATAATTTCACGTCAACAATACCCAGCACGCTGCTGATTGATATTCAAGAAAAGGTATCGACCGAGAGCTCGGGAATGGATACAGCTCGCTATATACATGCGAACACAATTTTCAACATTGTGAGGATGACCTCGTTTACGAGCCTGCTCACCTTAGGGAGTATAACATAAAACTCCAGTCCGCAATGCAGCGCGGGAGCTTTATTAAAAGTTTTCATCCTGCGTTAGCAACGTTGTGCGAAGACGCGGTATAGTCGGTCAAGGATGATGAAGCGATACAGATCTTTGAGTAATCTTCCTGTTATTCAGCCGACTGTGCGCCAAAATAATTCAATACTTTGAAAGTAATTTTGTAAAGAGAATATAATGGAAGCCTCTCGCGAAAATTCCTTACCTTTACACGTGTAGAAACACGCTCGATGCATTCAAGGAATTTATGTGACGCAGGCACGAGATGCATATATTTTCAATTTTCACGAGAGCAATTTCGATTCGATGGTGTCGATATGAGACGAAGTCGCGCTCAAGTCCGATCGCAATTACTCAATTTCCATAATATGTAGGCTGATACATTCCGTTATTCAACGGCCCGTTTGCTGCACGAACGCGCTTGCTGGTAGCGTGCAGGCGGTATCGTTCAACGCGTACCGGTGACTTTAATTGTAGAAAGTAATCGTAGAAAGTACAATTATCAAGTTGTCGTTAATGCGTGTGGAGACTGCGCGCATGTCTTAACTAACAGAAGATAAATTTTTTTCACCGTCTGTGACGCATCGATTTGTGTCATGTCGAAGTCTGTTTCATATTAGAGGCACAGAGAAATTGGCCAGCAATTTGCGTCGATATAACTAGCTCATAATATTAACGAGTCAGATATCAAATAAAAATAACTTAAAATTTTAATGATAAGTGAAACTTGACCGTGTAAATTCTACAAAGGAAATGCCATTAAATAGAAACACTTCCGTTTCAGACGGACTAGTTTCTTGCTGTCTAATAATATTTTCTGAACACACGGAGAGAGAATTTTTCCTTAAAGTTTATCCCGAAAATCATATAGTCGTGACATTTCGAAGAATTTTATGAGAATTTCTTAAAATTTTACCATACACTTTACTAGTAATTACACTTATTGTTAGTGTATATTTTTACTAGTAGAATGTACGTAAGTTTCAAAAAACTCTCATACAATTCTTCAAAATGCCACGTTCTCCCACGATTACATGATTTTCAGGGATAAATTTTAAGAGAAAATTCCCTGCGCGTACTTTTCCATCGAACTTAAAACGCAGTTTTCGTTGTAATAATAAATTCACATAATTGATCAATGTAACTGTTTAATGCTCACAAGAGTTCTTTGAAATTTAAACATTTGAAATTATATTTAAAACTTTCCTTCCGGATATTTATGATTTATAATTGAAATATTCAAGAAATTTTGGGCATGCTCAATGTAACCATACTTTCTTTATCATTTGCAATAATAATAAAATCTAAAATTTCACCAATTACACCAATTAAAAATTGTAGGGGAATTTATGATACAGAAAAATTCTCTCAGCCTCGTCTCTTTTGTTCAACTGCCACGATTATTCGAGATAATGTAATGGTAATTCCCTCGCTTCGCCTTGTAGAACCATATTCTGCTTTCTCGCCCTTATTTCAGGGCACGTCATGGCAAGCTCGCTCATATTCCTTATTACTTCGGCTCCCGAGAGAGCGTGTCCAAAGTATCTATTAAATCCCGTAGGTAGCTCGTGGTACTGTGTCAAATAGACGCATAAGTGACGCTTCATAAAGCGGGCGTCGACAATCGGAAGTTGTATTATAATTCCGTTGCACGAGTGAAGACGTAACGTAGTCTCAACTCGGTATTGTACGAGCAAACTCCATTTACCGTGGTGCTCGCGGAATTAACGGCTTGTATGATTAACGAGTCCGTCGTATTACATCTTGCGTAGGTATTTCGAGCAAATTTGAACGAACGCCTTAACATATTTCAAGCAAACGTCTTAATCGATTACCGATTACGTAGCTATTGCACGGAAAAGTCATTACGCGGACGCATTCTTCCTTGATTAAAGTCACGGTTTCGTTACTCTTGGTGCGTAAATATTTGACAAAAAGCGATAAAGCGATAAATTAATTTACGTAAAATAGTATTTGCGAATAAACGTTACGTTTAACGTGCATGAGCCCTTAATTGAATTCAATTGGACGTATCGAGAACAAAGTATTCGAAATGAATTTATCTCGTGAAACATTTTATATATTTTCGGGTAACAGCAATTCGGCCGAGCAACGTGCAGCCTTGATGTTGGTTTTTCTGGCGTACAGCGCAACTTCACAGCCTTGCGTACACATAAGGTCGCACCGTGCTATCATTCGTGTGCCACTCAAACGAGCAGATAGTAGCAAACGGATATTTTATCGTAAATTTTAACGGGAATTTTTCGGGAATGACGTGCGACAGATTATATTTTTACAACTAGTCCATGCGTGATGGCAATAACAGTTTAGTGTCTTCGCAAAAGTTGTGCGAGTGTGCAACAAGCCCCCTGTCAATCTAACAATAAGAAGTGAAGGAAATTTGGGATATCGGGCGACAATTGTGTAGATAACTACACACTCAAGATAACTGTAAACATTCTACTTTTAAGTAAAATTGACTCGCCTCTGTGAGTCTTTTTAAGCAGAATTGACACTTTCTTTCATTTAAATTGTTCATTTCGTTGGTTAAGATAAAGATAATTAAGTTTAGATAAAGCGTAATAAGTTAAGATAAAGAGAAAATAAAGATTAGATAAAAAGGCTTTTATTTAATAAACTTTGTGAATTATACTTAAAGAGAGAGAAGGAGGAAAGTTTTTAAAACATATTAAATATATTTTTTAGTTAACACATCCACTTGAAAAGTGAATAAAATTGGGTGCGCACAATAACTATTTGAACAAACTTTCGAAAACTGTCCACGCCCTATTTACGTATTTTTCGGAAGATATTTTGAATAATCTAGGTTGAATAATCTAAATAAGCATTTTTCTACATAGATTTTTACTAATAAAAGATAAAGGTATAAAATGTTCAAATAAATCATATGTAATGATTGAATATTTTCTTGTTATTTTAAATATATTTATACCTGAGAAGTGAACTGTAAGATCGTAACTGCAAAATTATGGATCATGAGATTTTTATTTCAATTCAACATATTATTTAACTATTTTTTAAAAGAATTTGCAAACAAACTTTGAAAATTGAAATTATAAAAATAGTGTTAAAAAATAATTTATAGAAATGCAAGTTGACCTCTCAGGTGCAGATATAATATATCTATATATTTGCAAATAATTTTGTATGAATTAATAATGTTAGAAAATACTTAATATTTTTCTTTATTTTAGCAATTTGAAATGCTCTAACTGAAAACTTTATTGTAGGTCTTGGATGACTCGTGCGGCACAGAATGTGAAAGCGTGTTAACAAATAAGAGTAGAATTCCTAAAACGTTATCTTTAAGTTCGATAAAATTTTGTACAAAAGTTAATTTTATTAATATGTTGAAACAAAAGCCCTCCAAGGGATTTTTTATTCCTCTGAGAAAGTAATTTCCTAACATAAAATATTCCACATGAATTTCCAACTTTTCACGTGAAGCAAGGTCCACTCTACATTTCCCGGTATTTTCGGTGCAAAATGAAGTCTATTATTATGCGGTTTCACGTGAGGGCTTTCAACTTCCTACACGAATCACGATCTACCCTGCGCTATTGCTAATTAGCTAGAATTTAGAATAAAAGAATTTTTAGATACACGATTTTAAACTTTTGACGGTAAAAGTCTACTATAAGAATATTTATTTTGAGGTCACGCAAAACATTTTCACTGAGGAATACGTAAATAGAGCGTGGATGGTTTTAGGAAGTTTATCAAATTATTCTTCTTTAATATTAGATAATTATTTTGACCGTCGCTATGATTTAATTATTACATGTGTATGTTACAGTTTTATCATAGT